TTCTTCTCAGAGTCAGCCACAGTTTGTTATGATCCACACAGTCAAACGCCTTTGCATAATCAATGAAACACAGATAGACATTCTTCTGGTATTCCACACAGATAGACATTCTTCTGGTATTCCCTGCTTTCAGCTAAGATCCATCTAACATTAGCTATAATATCCCTAGTACCATGACCCCTTCTAAACCTAGCCTGGACTTCTGGCAGTTCTCTGCAGGTGTACTGTTCCAGTCGTTTTTGGATAATCTTCAGTAGAATCTTGCTTGCATGTTGCCACACTCTGTTGGGTCACTTTTCTTTGGAATGGGAGCAAATATATCTTCCAATCAGTTGGCCAAGTGGTTCTCCAGATTTCTTGGCACAACTTGGTGAGCACATCCAGGGCATCGTCTGTTAGCTGAAATACGTACAACTTGAAAAACATAATCTATGACACCTAAGTAGTTAGTATATGAAGAAACTGCTAAATTGGTCTATTTGGCTGTGTATATTCTCAACAACAACAAAATATGGTTTTAGCTTAAATCACAATGTAAATTCTAGCCTTAAGTAACTTGAGTTCTAGACCCAATTATATTCAAGCTTGTAGTTAAGAGTTCTTTAGAAGACTTTTTTCTCCCTCTGTCCACCAAAAGCCAGCAGACAAAATTAACTTGGAATGTTCCATTCTGTGCTGTTGTTTTCTTTCAGCTACAGTTTTGTGCTTCTAGGTTTTACTTTCTCTGTCCCAGGAACTCGAAAGCTGCATAACCAATTTAAAGCTAGATGGTAGAGACAGGAATTAAGCAAACCCCCAGGAGAAGCAAGGCCAGAGCCTGATCCCCTTGTCAGCTGCCATTTTGGCTCTGCCCTTAATAAATTCCCTAGCCTTTCCAAACACTGGCAATATATCAAAAATGATGTATTTTATACTCGGTTTAGCATTTTAGGTGGTTAAGTAGTTTGAGAATTCTCAAGGTAGATAATCTTAAATACTTCTGGAATTAAAAATCTCCCTGTTTATTTTAATTACCCACCTTGTATTTTTGCACTACACATTTACTATACTCATGGAACTGAAATGCAGAAACTGGTTTGCATTATTTGGTAAAAAAGCAACCAATGATTTTTAATTTAACAACAACAAAATGACTTTATGTTACCTTATCAGCTCGTCCCATGAAAGCAGGTTTGCCTGCCAATCCAAGGCAAATTGCACATACAATGCTGGACTTCCCTGTTCCATTAGCGCCAATAATCATATTCAAGTGAGGTCCAGGAGATACTTCACAGATATCATACGTCCTGAAATATGAAGAAGTGAAATTACTAACCAGAATTAAAAGACAAATATGTTTTTTACAAAAGAAGGTGTCCTTGCTTTATATTATCATTTCCTAAAAACAGCCTCAAATTCCTTTAAAAAAGTAAATAATTTTACAAATTTATTAGTAATTATCTCTCTCAAAGTCAAAACTCTCATTAACTTCAAATCACAACCAACTTACAGTGGACCCTCCATTGGGCTTCCAAGGCTGTAAATGGCATGATATACGAATGCCTAGCTTTGTAGCTGTTGGTAGATTTGAGCTCACAGACAAGTGAGGTCTTTGGATTAGTAGCACATCCCCCTATAGACTAGGCCAACAGAGCTCTCTGTTATTGAGAAGATATTAACAAACTGAAGAGAAAAGGCAATCAGTGGAAGAATTTAAATAGCTAACAATAGTATATCATATTCACAATAAAAATATCCAAAAGAAAAACTGACATTTTTAAAAAAAGTCTACTGAATAAAGTTTAATCTAAGTTATTATTTTTAGAGAATGTATTGTTTTTATAACAATAATCACAACATGCATTAGAATATATAAAGGTTACATTGTTTTCTCATGCAAATAATTTTACACCAAATATTAATGTTAGAGAAGTCATGAACTCTTTAATATATAAATTTCACATTAATATTTTTCCTGAATTAGAATATTTAATCACAGCTGTCAATATTTTCATGTTTAAACTCAACCAACATTTTTATCTATTTCATATTACATATACATGGAAGACATGTATGAAATTTTACTACGCTTAGGTTTTTTTTAAAAAAATGACATTCATGTCCATTAATCTGCTGTTGGAAAATTAAAAAAATCTACTGCTAGTCCACGTTCAAATAAATTTTACTCTTATGGGAGAAAATAAGAATGCCCCAGCAAGCATTTCTATAATATTCCCTAATGCCTGCAACAGTTAGCACTTAATGTTTACCAGTTGCCGGAGCAGTTACCATAAAAGGTGAAGCAAGTGGTCTTTCTAACCTGTCTTTGAGTATCCTGAAGTGGAAAGCCACAAAGACTGTCCTATTCCCAGAGTCTCAGTAAGCATGCAGACCACAACTGAAGAATGCACGCTTAATTTAACAGGAAAAGAAGTTTACCAACCACTCCTCAACTGGACACCCTAATTAATGACACTTTTAAATTCTAAGAGGTAATAAAATAAACACTGGTGGTAGAGGAAAAGTATTTCCTGGCTAATTTTCCAACCCCATACCTCTCAATTAATGTTATACAGCATCTAATTTATCTTTTCAGATGCCCTGCTCCCTTAAAATAAGTCCTACATTTACATAATCAATAACTGGCCAACTGAAGCATTCATTTAAAAAAAGGTTTCTTCCCATATTTTACACACCATATTTATAGAGTAGATTTTAATCACAAAAATAATTCTGCAAGAAAGTGAGGTAGGAGGGAATGCCCCTACATTAATTTTCTTCCTGCATGATTAGATTTAAGAACATGTAAGCTAAATGTAATTTTATAAATGGTAAAAATAAAACTAGTCTGGGCCCTTCGAACATTTAGAAAAGTACCTTACATAGAACTTCAACACATGAAGCTCCATTCTTGAAACACTTAGATTTACTGCTGTGAAATTCTTATACACATGTCTTGCTTTTATGAGAGGTAACTGTTATTTAAGACAAAAGAAAAAAGCATGAGAATTTCTGGCCTATAACACACATGTTGTTGCTGTGTGTCATCCAGTTGGAAGTGATCCATAGATGACCCTCGAGTGGGTTTTCAGGGGCAATTACTCAAATAGGAGGAGAATGCTTCTTCCACAGAACTGCTGGCAGATTTGAAATGCATGCCTCTGGGATTGCAGTGCAGCTTCTTACCACTAGGGGGCACACACACAAGTTGTTGACTGTCGACGAGTTGAGCACAACTCATAGCAACCACATGAACAAAAGGCCTGAAGTCTTTCCGTAACTATCATCATTTATGAAAGTTCCATTGTTTCCAGACACATGTTGTTTAGGAAGTGGATGCCACTCCTGCTTCCAAACCTACAGATAATACAAATAAGAAAAGCTGCCAAAGCCTAAACAAGCCTTTGCATCTTTCAGTGAACTTTCTTTTCTTAGCACACTCCTTCAGAGGGCTATCATCATTGGGGCAGCTTTTTATCTGTAAGCCGCCAGTGTCTCCCATATTCACATCTCTTCAGGTACTAACTTCACACTAGGAGACCTACTCAGCTAATTATGTTTCTTGCAAACAGCAAGTCCAATGCATAAAAAGTGTACATGCTCATAAGAAACTGGTACCAGAGGGGGTTGAAACATTTGCCAAACCAAACCACCTGGGTATATTTGCATAAAAACACGGTGCTCAATAATTCCACTTTGATACCCCACAGCAATCAATTCAACACGCTCAAAGTTAAACTCACCCTCTTCCCAATGCAAAACTACTGTTTGTTTGTTTTAATAATTTTAATGAACATTTACAGATAATTTGGATTTCCATTCATTCACTGCTGCACTTCTCTACCCGCCCAGCCCTCTCCCACTGCCCCCCAGTTCGCTCCTCTCTTTCAAAAGTAAAAGAAAGACTCCCTCCCTGGTACACAATCCCCCCGCCCCAAGTACATTCCACTATGCAACTTTTAATTGTGGATTCTTGTGATAACCATAATACCCTATCATACATCACTTCTAAATTATTCAGTCCCTCATCTGACAAAACTACTTTTGTGGTCTTACAGCCAACTACTGTTAGGTGCCCTCAAGTTGAGCATGATTTATGTCAACCCCATGAACAAATACCCAAGCTGTGCCTATCCTGTGCCATCTTCATCATATGTGACACACTAGAACTCACTGCTGAACGCACCATGTCAATCCATCATGTTGAGGGGTCGTCTTCTCCTTCGCTGACCCTCCATCTTTCCAAGCATGATATCCCTTTCAAAAAAAAAGCCTCGCCTAGCTACATACTATTTAATATTTAGGCAATACTGTTTGGTACTACTACTATGTTCTATTGTGCCAGAAACAGTAAAATTGGCACAGGATAGAGCAGGGTTTAGGGCTACTGTACACAGGGTCACTGTGAGTCACAGGGGACTCGCTGGCACATAACAACAACATTTATTATTATAATACTATTTAGGCCTAAATCAGAAACCTAGGTATTACTTTGAATAATACCTTTGATCTCCTTCATCTCTCCTGGTCCTCTGCCCCAGCATGAAATCAGTCACAAAGGTGGTACTTCTAATTAACTCCTGAGTTAATTCATCTCTCCAAACTATCTTGTCCATTACCTCTCACTGAAGTCTCACACAAGGATTCTTTCCTCTTATACAGCTCCTCCCCCTAAATGAATCTCTTTATATCATAAACTAGCCCTAGTCTGCTCTTTCTCTGCTTTCTATCTCCTTCCCCATTTGCTGATTAGACCTCTAAATTCTACACATGGGTAGTCCCAGTTTATAGTGTATTCAAACTGTAATAAACCAAACTTAGAACCATTCTTTAGTCTTACATTATACTCAGAAATATGTACTACATCATATAATCTGCCGCTATCATCTTTTGATATTTACTCACAGATGTTTATATGTTTCCAATTCTCAGACAGATGACAATGATAACACAAAACCAAAGCAAGCCAAATCCAAAAAACCCATTGCTTCAAGTCTTTTCCAATTCACAGCACCCCTATATGGGGCAATAATGAAAATGCTAAGAACAACATATTAGACTTAGGACAAACTTATATGCAAAGGAGTCATCAGAACAGAACCTTACCATAAGTTGGGAACTGTACAGATCCATAGAGTGCAATTTATTTTTTCAACTAACTTATGCTTCCTCCTTTCTCCAGGACTTTACATCTGCAATTTTTCTTGGTCTAGAAACCTTTACTCCAGCCCTATGTGACCTGTTTCACACGTAGGAAGTCTTCCTTGATTCATTCTTCTAGGACTTTCAGTTCTTAACTTATTTCACAAAAAAACCCCTCACAGAGGCTGCACTTTCCAGCCAACTTCTTCTCTTTCTTTTTCTCCTCATCCTTTGCCATTCCCTATCACTCCTCCCTGAGAGAGACTTCACCCTGATTCATAAGGAAAAGGGGACGGCGTATTCTCTTAGCTACTTCTTGCAATCCCAATACAAATACCAATCCCATTCTTCAACAAGATGGAAAAGGCAATCTCCA